GAGGTGTCAGGCTTTGAGACATAGTGTGTACTCGCGTCTTTCTAGCTGTTGAATCCATGCACACAAAAGCTCGTGTCTAAGTGCGAGAGAAAGAAACGAAGCCCTCTGAAAAGAATCCTATAGATACAGATGATATTAAAGATGTGTCATTGACTCACACTGAGGTGAGATCCAAATAATATAAATTAATTTTCCTCTTAATGTGTTTTTCTTTAACTATAAATGTGCGCTGATTTCCTTGCAATGAGCTCTACTCGTGGCTGCTATTAAACCCACTTCTAAGTCTACGAATCAAATTTAACTGAGCCAGTGGCCCATTCTTCAGAAACAAACACAGAGATCGGGTCTTCTTGGTTAAAACTAATTTTTGTATTCATCAGCTTCCTACAGGGGAGGCTTAAAAACTGCTTTTTGTTGTTGAATAAAATAATTACACAGATATTGTTCATCTAAAGTATATACAATGTGGCTACTTGGGGACCAAGAGAAACGAGGTTTGACGTCCTACTGCTGCTGATGTCTGTGGTTTGTATATTTAATTAACGGTGGAAATACTTAGAGCACACATTTTCCTCACTTTTTCTTACAGATTTCCCGCCATCATGAGCTATAGTAGGAAAAATGTTGACTTCATAAGGACACATTTGGTCTTACAGCTGTGGAAGTCTGAAACTGCCATAATTAAACACGAATAAATAAAAAACTAAATAAAGAAGTAAAGAATACCCATTAAATAAATCTGCTTCTATTAAAAGCCTCAAAAATATAAAAATGATAAAATCTACATTTTAAATAAATTAATACAACTGAAAATGAAATGTTAATGTCACTAACAGGTGAATTAATGCTAACTCTGAGATTCTATCTCAGCTGTCACGTGGTTGCTGGTCTGCAGCATGACCAACAATCATGCACACTCACACCTACTCTTAATTTAGAATCACCAGTTGACATGAGATGCATGTCTGTGGACTGTGGGAGGAAGCCCATGCAGCCCATACAGAGCGTCCAAACCCGACACAGCTGGCTGGCAGGTTTGTACCACTGTACGCTCGTGCTGTGAGGCTGTAGCGCTAACCACTGCACTGCTGTAACGGTGGAATATAAACATTCATATCACATTTTTGGCGCATTTAATTGCATGTTTGTTTGTTTTTGACCATGCCAGTACAATTTATCACGATTTTGACCTTTATTAAATAGTTGATGTAGTAATTCTTATTTAGAAAGAAATACTTTTTGACTTGATTTCTTAAAGATTGATTTGAACATTTTTGCAAAAATCTTGACTTACTGTATTTTCTTTCACATTTCTATTTTTTTGTGTATTTTTGTTGTTGGCACAAATAGATGTACATGCTGAAATTTAACATATTATCATAAAAATATATTTGGACGTTTGGAGAGGGTACCCGGAGGACACCCCCCCCC